GAGGGCCGTGTGCATCCCTTAACAAGGGGGAACTATCTTGCTTCTCCACCCCTTGTTGTTGCCTATGCTCTGGCTGGTCGTGTCACCATCGACTTCGAGAAGGATCCCCTAGGCGCTGATCCTGAGGGCAAGCCGGTTTTCCTCCGTGACATTTGGCCCTCTTCTGAAGAGGTTGCTGCTGTCGAGAGGAGTTGTGTGTTACCGGAGATGTTCACCGAGAATTATAAGAAGGTCTTGCATGCTAACAAGAGGTGGACTCAGTTGGCAGCTCCGTCTGGGAAGTTGTTTGCTTGGGCTGAAGGATCGACGTACATCACGAATCCTCCATTTTTCAAGACTGTAATTACAGCTAGCAGTGACTTGTTGGGTGAATATTTGTTCTTGTTTTCAGACCGAGATCGATCCATCTCCAATAGAGTCTATCGAAAATGCTTACTGTCTACTCAATGTTGGCGACTCTATCACGACCGATCACATATCTCCCGCAGGGAAAATAACTGCGAATTCTCCTGCTGTAAGTTCCTGTGTTGGTATCCTCTGTGTCGTGATTTCCTATTTATTCAGGGTCGCTATCTTATGGAGAACGGTGTACAGCCGCCCGACTTCAACTCCTACGGTTCGCGTCGTGGCAACTATTTGGTTCTAGCTCGTGGCACTTTCGCTAACATTCGTCTCATCAACAAGTTGATGGATGGTGAGGTTGGGCCGAAGACGGAATACGTACCCACTGGCGAGAAGATGTTCGTATATGACGCTGCTGAGAAGTATATGAAGGAAGGTCATTCGCTTATCATCCTCGCGGGTGCTGAGTATGGCAGTGGCTCCAGTCGAGATTGGGCCGCGAAGGGCCCGGCTTTGCAAGGCGTTAGAGCTGTTATTGCTAAGAGTTATGAGAGAATTCACAGGTGAGGACAATACTTGGTCTGAATCGTTTGTGAGGAATAACTGAGATGTATTTTCTTTCAGGTCGAATCTGGTTGGCATGGGTATCTTGCCACTGCAGTTCCCGCAAGGTGTTGATGCTGATTCCCTGGGACTAGATGGTCGTGAGCAATTCTCGATCAATCTCAATCATGGTGATCTGTCTGTGGGGCAGAAGATTACTGTGCGAACTACTTCCCCTAAGACGCCTTCTTTCGACGCTATTGTCCGTCTTGACACCGAAGTTGAGCTGACCTACTTCAAGCATGGTGGCATTCTGCAGTATGTGCTTCGCAGGCTTGCAGCGTAAAAAGTACTCAACTCTGAACACGTCGAGTGGTCGCCTTTGCCGTTTACGGTGAAGGCATGCATATCGCTGCATCCAGAGTGATGTCCATAGTTGGATGGGTTTTTATGTTTCGTGTCGCTTGTTGGTGGAAACGCCTTCAATACATTTCAGTCTCTCAGTAGTTTTTTTTCAGATTTCACTCGGTAGTGTTCTGGTTTGTAACACACTCAGATTGAGATTTCCGTTCATTGGGATTTGACAGAGCTTCTGCAGTTTTTATTAAGCTGACAATGACCGACTATAAGGTGGCTGATATCGGCGAAGCTGAATTTGGTCGTAAGGAGATTACTCTCGCTGAAGTCGAGATGCCTGGTTTGATGGCTAGCCGCAAGGAGTTTGGTCCCAGCCAGCCGTTGAAGGGTGCTAATATCACGGGTTCTCTTCATATGACTGTTCAAACAGCTGTACTCATCGAGACTTTAAAGGAGCTTGGTGCCAATATACGTTGGTGTAGCTGCAATATCTACTCCACTCAGGATCATGCTGCGGCTGCTATTGCTAAAGCTGGGTCTGCCAATGTCTACGCTTGGAAGGGAGAGACTCTCGAAGAGTATTGGTGGTGTACTGAGCAGGCTTTGACTTGGCCCCATGCTGATGGTCCTGATCTCATTGTTGATGATGGTGGTGATGCTACTTTGTTGATCCACGAGGGTGTCAAGGCTGAGAAGGCTTATAAGGAGAGCAAGGTCATTCCTAATCCTGACGCCGAGGGCAATGCCGAGTTTAAATGTGTGTTGACAATCCTCAAGCAGGGTATTGAACGCGGAGAGCTGGACAAGTGGACAAAAATGGCGTCTAAGATCGTTGGTGTGAGCGAGGAGACTACCACTGGAGTCCATCGGCTCAACTCGATGGCTGCCTCTGGGGCTCTGCTTTTCCCTGCTATCAATGTCAACGACTGCGTGACGAAGAGCAAGTTCGATAACGTCTATGGATGCAGGCATTCTCTCCCTGATGGAATTATGAGAGCTACTGATGTCATGATCGGAGGGAAGACTGTATTTGTTGCTGGTTATGGTGATGTGGGTAAGGGATGCGCTGTTGCTATGAAAGGTTGTGGTGCCAAGGTTCTCGTAGGCGAGATCGATCCTATCTGTGCCCTGCAGGCTTGCATGGAGGGACTCACTGTCACTACTATCGAGGAGGCCATTTCCAAATACAATGCGGACATCTTCATAACGGCTACTGGCAACAAAGATATCATAACTCTTGAACACATGAAGGCCATGAAGAATAACGCTATCGTCGGTAATATCGGTCACTTTGATAACGAAATCCAGATGGAGAGGTTGGAGACCTGCCCCGGCGTCAAGTGCATGAACATCAAGCCTCAAGTTGACCGCTTTGAATTTCCCGATGGTCACGGTATCATCATGCTGGCGAGCGGTCGTCTACTCAATCTTGGCTGTGCTACTGGCCATCCTAGTTTTGTTATGAGTTGTTCCTTCACCAATCAGACCTTGGCTCAGTTGGAGTTGTGGGAGAATAGGGATACGAAGTATGCCAAGGACAAGAGACCTGGTGTAACTCTTCTGCCCAAAGTTTTGGACGAGAAAGTTGCTAGGCTACATCTTCCGGCTCTCAATGCCAAACTGACTCAGCTGACTCCCGACCAGGCATCCTATATTTCCGTCAACGTCGAAGGTCCTTTCAAAGAGGTCCATTATCGTTACTAGGTGCACAAGGGTATCCGGGCTGTTTCTTGCAATGTGGACGAACAACTTGGTGGTGCTGACAGCATTGTCGTGATTTTGATTATCATTTCACGTTCCGGTATGTTGTGTCTTAGTATTCCAATAGAGCGTTGTAATGTGTTGGACATCGATTGTGCCATCTGGGTAGCGCGTTTCCTCTCTATGCTGGGTATCTCCCGACGGGAGACTCCCGTGACATGTGCGAGTTCCGCACGTGTTCTCACTGTCGGGCTTTCCTCATCCTCCGTTCAGAGGCACGGAAGATCTAGTAAGGTGTCACCCAAGGTGCTCCAGCCGCTACAGGCTACGGCCCGGCCGAAACTAGATTGCCGAATATCAGATGTCTCACCAGCCAGTACCAGGTGAATATCTCTCGAGGATATGCTGAACCGATACCGAATGCCAGATAGCTTGTAGGTGAGTCGCGGGGAAGTCTTTTCATGGAGACCAGCTGGAGTTTATCACCGGGTCTTCATCTTAGATCGCTGGAGTTTACATAGATCTCGAGCTACGACTCTATGTCTCGTGTATCCCGATGGGGTGGGGTGTATAGAGCAATAGATTCCACCATAGACTCGTGGGTTTGTAGTTTGCAGATAAAAACTGGCGCACGGCCATCTTGAGAGCTTTCAAGGATCAGTCTATGTAAACTATCCAGGTGGATGATGCGGATAGGTGAAATACCTCAATGCGAAATCCATCATTCGCTTGGTGAAGTTCGGCGAATTTCGGTAAGCATCCTCACTTTCAGAACTATAACAGTTTCATCAGTAACAATTGGAGAAAAGATAAATATCGGGTATTGAGGGGATTTCTGCTCTTGAAAAATCAACTCCTCCTGAAGGATGGATATACTATTGCCAACAAACTGAGTAGAAAAATGGTGTGCTTCACAAAAGCAACGTAACGATAAAGGTCCGGATCTGCAAAGGCTGAAGCTCCACGCTTGCCCAATCAACTCGGTGACTTCCTTCATCATGAACGGGCCTTCGACTCTGAACCCCATGCACGGACCATTTCAACCGCTCCTCCTCAGCGGTCTTGATGTCTCTTCCCGCGTTGAGGGTTACCTGAAAAGCTGAAGAGTTACCCGCTTATCAGCACGTGTTCCAACCTCGAAGCCGGGACCTAGTTCAAAGTCCTTCAAAAGAGTTCCTTTCCCAGCTAGATCAAGTTGGATGGGAGATCCTCCCTCCTCCTGAGCATAGGTATGGGCCACGCGAAGCAACGCACATCGGTGATGGGCACAGGCCTTCTCATAGTAGAGCTTAGGAGTATTGTTAGCATGCAACAGCTCCAGCGTTAGAATTTGGATCTCTCGAGGCAAAGGCTTGCAAGCTGTTAGCCCTCCAAGAGAAGACCACTCATCGGCTTTAGGCGGGTTCTTGGGATCATCATGAGCGAAGATAGGCAGAAGAGGCAAACGGACCTGATGTGAGTCCATCCGTCTATAGATAGGCTAAAGCGGTCACCTGGTGAGCCATCTCTCGATAGTTGTCGTGGGACTCTTCTTCGGTCGTCGACGTTCTAACGGGCTCCAGCAGTAGGCGCGTCTCACCCGTTACCAATTTAGGCAGGCACAATGACTTTCCACAGTCTACCTCATCCAAAGCCTCTCCTAAGTTAACTCGTCCTAAGCTCGCCACCCCACTCTCTCACCAACGCCTCGGCCATCGTCAAATAGCATCCTCCTATGGATCATTATCTCGAGTTGGCCTGGTAGCAGTGAGGCTCCACCATGAGCTCGATCGGGCACAAGAGTGAGCTAGGGACACTACTATGAGGATGTACTCGATGCTGGCGGCTTACCTGCCGAAGGTTACTTCCTTTACCGACTTGATCGGAAATCCTCAGGCCTGAGTTAATCGGGTAATAGTTCATGGCCACTGGGTCGGTAACATTCAGCTGCCAATCCTTGCGGTAGTTGACCCTGAGAGTTAACATCACTCCTCCAAGCACAACAAGGACCTCACCTGCGGGGTACCCAGTCCCTGCCGTTGCTGTCCGTGAGGAAGTCTCCATCATGATTATTGATGTCGGTATCAAGTAGCTACGTGGAAGCAACTTGGTCAACACCACAGCCCTCTGTACTTACAAGGACGGCCTCTTTCCCAACACCGTCGCCATCGTCGATCGCCACATCCCACGATATCACCACAGCAGACTCCTTCGGCGGGATGCTCAGAGATAAGTTCCCGATGAGGGCTGGAGCAGAGCCCTCCTCCGATGATTGTTGAGCAATATTCACCCGCAGGGTACTCCCATCGTCCGCTTGACCCATGAGTATCTAAAAGTCGTCCAAACTCGTCGCCTCAGCAAGGATATGTTCTCAGCAATTTCCCCCTCATAGGCCCCTCCCCCTTTCGCTAGCAACTCTCTATGCACTTCACTAGCAGCTTGCTTACAGTAGGAGTGATGGCCATCTCCGGTCGGCAGGATCGAATCGATCTAACATCCGGTGCCTCTGGGCAATCGGGTCGGAAGATGTAGGCCCCCGAAGCTTGGTATGGACGTCCGTAAATGTTCTCCCCAGAACCCGTAGAACTGTTATAGTATCCAAGGATGACGTTGAACCTAACCTGGGGGGAGGTTGTGGATACGAAACTGCCCGGAACCCACCTCTAAACCAGCTTTCAAGTTCTTCAGAGTAAAGCGGTACGGTCCCCCACTGCCCTCATCTCCTCCATAAAACAGCTTGTAGTTTTCGTTGCCAACACTTGTCGCGGACGACGCAGAGGGCTGTCCACTGAGCTGTTGCTCTTGTGGGCAGGCTGCTGTTTGCCCTTTGGTCCCGGAAGTGATCCTGTTGGAAGTAGCTCATCTACA